ATATATATATATATATTTCATTCTTGTTGCACAAAAAGCTCTTCATGTTTTGATAAGAAATGGAGCAAGATTTGATCAATGGGGAAATTCGGTTTTTTTTTATTTTTATCCTTTTTTTAATCATGATAGTCCATTTCTAGTTGGATCATTTTTCAAAAAATAAAAGAAAAACATTTTTTCCAAAAAAACAAAAGAAAAACATTTTTCATTCTTTTTGTACAAAATGTAAGCGTTACTTAATAAGTCAAAAGCAGCCACAACTTTTAAAGAAAAAAAAGAGAGAGAGAGAGAGAAAGGGGAAGTTAGCACCAAATTCGGTGCTGACATTTGAGGGAATAGCTAGTTGTTTATAACTGGCTCATACAGTTTTCTCAAGAGGAGCTCAGCTATAAATAGAACTCTTCCATTTTTCAGTTTTGCATCTCATTCTCACCCTTCAGAGAGAATTCCCATAGTGTGAGAGATATTTAGTTTTTCTAATTTTTCTTCTTTTTGTGAGGTTTTTCTCATATTTACATGAGAGAGTAGTTCTGATTGTTCTCTCTATGTAATTTAGAGAGAAAATTGTAATCCCCATTTTTCATAGTGAAATCCTTCTACACTTGTCCTGTGGTTTCTACCCCGTCTCTTTTGTGGGTTTTCCACATAAAATACTCTGTGTCCATATTATTTTCATTTTCACTCATTTCTTATTTTACCGTCAAATTTACCAACAAGTTGTATTAGAACAATCCTGGTGGAGTTACTATTCACGAGGGAGTTATCATTCACGGTGCAAATAAGTACGGCGTAAGTAGGTTATGTCTAGGAGGCTGGAACTTAAGTAGTTCACCTGAGACCTTCCACGCCTTTTCTGGGATCTTGTTTAGTAAGGTGAAACTGTCTAGGAGGTTGTCCGGATCTATCCTGTGTTGATAGAACTGGTGTATTTATTTACAGTCTTTTCTGAAAATTACCTAATCGGAACAGTTTTCATACAAGTATTATTCATAGTTATAGTGAAACAATGGGAGTTAAGCAATTCACAAAATGGCTAGAAAATTCGAAATAGAGAAGTTTAACAAAAGCAATTTCACGTTGTCGAAAATGAAGATGTCAGTAATTTTACGGAAGGATAATTGTCTAGTGGCTATCAAAGAAAGACCACAAGAAATCACAGACGATGGCAAGTGGAACAAGATAAATGGTAATGTTATTGCCAATTTGCACCTGGCATTAGCAGAAGAAGTTTTATCAAGTATCACAGAGAAGAAAACAACGAAAGAAATTTAGGATACTCTCATCAAGTTATACGAGTCCAAGTCACTTCACACCAAGATTTTCTTGAAGAGAAAACTTTATACTCTTCGGATAGTGGAATCCACACTGGTAACAAACCATATCAACAACCTGCAGACTCTATTCGCTCAGCTTACATCGTTGGGTTGAAAGATAGATGAAAATGAACGTGCAGAGATTCTTCTTCAAAGTCTACCTGACTCGTATGATCAACTCATCATCAACATAGCCAATAGTAATGTTGTAGAAAGCCTATGCTTCGAAGATGTTCTAGGCGCAATCCTCAAAGAAGAAAGTCGGCGCAAGAACAATGATGATAGGCTGGCAAGCTCACAGCAAGCAGAAGCTTTGATGATAATGAGAGGGAGATCAACAGAACGTGGCCCTAGTAGGAGTCAAAGTCATATTAGATCAAAATCTAGGAGTAAGAGGAAGAATATAAGATGTCACAACTGTGGCAAGAAAGGGCACTTCAAGAGGGAGTGTAAGGTTAAGAAGAATGAATATAGGAATTCTCAAGGGAATGTGGCAAGTACCTCAGATGATGATGACGTCTTATATAGCAAGACAACAACAATTGCTAAAGGCAAACAGAATTTCATTGATGTGTGGATACTAGTTTCGAGAGCATCATGGCACATAACCTCTAGGAGAAAATGGTTCCATCAATATGAACCAATGTTGCATTGGAGTACTATTAAGAGGATCCTAAGATACATCAAGGGTACCTTAGATGCTGCATTATGTTATGGAAGATCATAGTTAGTTAACTATCAGGGGCTATGCGGATTCATATTTTGTAGGTGATCTAGATAAAAGAAAATCCACTACAGGCTATGTGTTCACACGTGCAAGAAGAGCTGCAAGCTGGGTTTCAAAACTGAATCCCGTTGTAGCATTATCTTCAACAAAAGCAGAATACGTAGCGGCTACACAAGCTTGCAAGGAAGCAATTTGGATTAAAAATTTATTGGGGAAGCTCGGGCACAAAGAAGAGAAGATTCTTTTGTTTTGTGACAGCCAGAGCGCCTTGCACATTGTAAGGAATCCAGCCTTTCATTCCAGTATGAAGCACATAGAAGTTCAATTTCACTTTGTTCGTGAAGTAGTGGAAGAAGAAAGTATGGATATGCAAAAGATTCACACAAAAGAGAACCTAGCAAATGCGTTGACCAAGCCACTAAATACTGACAAGTTCAAAGGTGTAGATTCTCGTGTGGCCTAGCAGAAATGTAAGCAGCATGACAGTGACAAGGTAGAAAGGATGGTGTGGAGGTGTGCTTAATTCTTAATCAAATCTCCAAGTGGGAGAATGTAAATGTTGCCTAATAAGCCAAAGGTAGCCACAACTTTTAAAGGAAATAAGAAAAAAAAAAGATAGAGAAAAGGGAAGTCAGCCCAAATTCGGTGCTGACATTTGAAGAAAGAGTTATTTATTTACAACTGGCTCATACGGTTTTCTCAATGGGAGCTCAGCGATAAATAGAGCTCCTTCCTTCTCATTTTTGCATTACATTCTCACCCTTCAAAGAGAACTTCTATAGTGTGAGAGAAATTTAGTTTCTCCAGTTTTTCTTCTTTTTGTGAGGCGTTTCTCATACTTACATGAGAGATTAGTTCTTATTGTTCTCTTCGTTTAAATTAAAAAGAATGTTATAATTCTTATTTTTCATAATGAGATTTTTCTATACGTGTCTCGTAGTTTTTACCCCGTCTTCTTTGAAGATTTTTCACGTAAAATATTTTATGTCCATATTATTTTTATTTTTACTCATTTATTATTTTATCTCAAAATTTGCCAACACAATAGGCTCTCTGCATGCTTTGACAAGATGGAAATACGGTTTGCTTATTGGTTTTTATTCTTTTTCCTGTCACTCCTACGTGGCTTAGTTAATTTATTAAAATAATATTGATCTATTACTCTAATAATTGTCAATTGTCGCTGGTTTGGAACTTTCCAAAGAGTCAAAGTATTAAACAGCAAAAGAGATATTTATTAGTTTTTAATTTTAATTTTGTTAGAGTTAAAAAAATTTTATAAAAAATTATATTTAATTTTTTTTATTATTATAAAAAATAATTTATATAAAATTACATCTGAATTAAAATTAAAATCTCAAATTAATTAACTAATGAAACCTAAATATGCATATGTTTCCAAAAAGAATATTGTTCAACAGACAACTTTAATAATGCAACTAATTACTTGTCATCCAATTTGACTAATTCTTCTTGGATTGGGATAGATATTGCTCGAAGAGTGGTATCCATCTGTAATATTGGCGTACGTATTGACTTGTATTTTTCCTTTTTCGGGTCACGGGTAATAATAATATAATATAATATAAGAGTTTGGTCCAAGAAGATTTAAATTAAAATAAAAATTAATTAGAAAAAAAAAATAGAGATTAAAGTCTCTAACGTTTGAGCTTACATCACAAGTCGCGTATGCAATATCCTAATTCACCAACAAATGACCTGTAAGAACTCCCTAGTTTTCCAAGCACAAAAAAATAAATAAAATATATATACGGTTGAGTTTAAGGTTTAGGATTTTGAGGTCTTATTCATTTTGTGAATTTGAGTTGAGATATGATATTTTTTGAGAATTTTTTGCTGTAGTAAAAAATATTAAATATGATATTTTTTGAAAATTTTTTATTGTAAAAATTTAAAATTAAAAATTTAAATCAGTGAAATGAACGAGATCTGAATCATAAGCTGATAATTCAAATATCCCCACACATCTCCACGATTCTTGGCCACCTTCAGTTGAAAGGAAAAGAATCAACAGAGGCTAAGAAAAAAAAATATAAAACAAAAAGGGTAAGATAAAAATTTATCCAAAACGACGTTTCAAGCCATCAAGGAAAAATATATGATCGGGTCAAAAAGATTACGCCTGAACTTACGTCATATTTCCGATCTCTAATCCAGTCAAATATTCATGCAAAAAACAAAAAAAAAGGGTCAAAATTGCAATATTGTCAAGAAAAACAATAAATACACAATCAAAAAGTCCAAGCAGGCAACCGCATAGATGCTTCCTCAAGCGAGTTTGTATCTAAATATCCACTTCTAAACCAGATCACACACACACAAACATATATAGATAGATATATATATATATATATATATATGTGTGTGTGTGTATCATATATCATATATCTCACCGTGATCAAAATCGAAGACCCATTAGCCATTTCCTGCAATGAATCAAACACCTCACATAGCCATTCTCCCAAGTCCGGGTATCAGTCACCTGATCCCGTTCGTAGAGTTAGCCAAACGCCTTATTCTCCATCACGACCTCCACGTCACTTGCATCATACCCTGCACACCCAATGAACCATCAGACGCCACAAAATCCGTCCTCGAATCCCTTCCCAAACCCAACTCCCGCACCATATTCCTCCCTCCGGTCTCCTTCGACGACCTTCCCGATGACGCCAACCCATCACGCAAGATCTCCCACACCATGACTCACTCTTTACCTTCAATTCATCACGTGCTGAAATCGCTGGTTTCGAGTACTAGTACTACTTCTTCTCCTCCGGTGGTTGCTTTATTTCTCGATCCTTTCGCAATAGGAGCTTTGGATATTGCCAAGGAACTTGATATTCCCACGTATGTTTTCTTCCCTACAAATGCTATGGCTTTGTCTTTGATCTTCTATTTGCCCAAGTTGGATGAGATAGCGGCTTCGTACGATTTCATGAGAGACTTGCCGGAGCCGGTGAAATTACCGGGATGCCCTCCTTTTCACGGCGGAGATCTCTTTGCCTCGATCCAAGACCGGAGAACGGACACGTATAAAAAGACGGTGCAAATCTCAAAACTGATCGTTTCGGCCGAGCGTATTAAAGGGTTTATCCTTAATAGCTTTGTGGATATTGAAGCTAAGGTGATAAAAGCCCTGCAAGAGGAAAAGACTATTTACCCGGTGGGACCCATCGTACAAACCGGTCCACCTCGTCAAGATGATGGAGACTCGGAGTGTTTGACTTGGTTGGACAAACAACCACGTGGCTCGGTTCTATATGTTTCTTTCGGGAGTGGTGGGACCCTCTCGTATGAACAGATGACCGAGTTGGCATTTGGGCTGGAGATGAGCGGGCATAGATTCATATGGGTTGTTAGGAGGCCCAACAACGAATTCCCCAATGCCGCGTTTCTCAATCACGGGCCCAAAAACCCATTAGAGCCTCTTGAATATTTGCCCAATGGGTTCTTGGAGAGGAAAGGGCAAGGCCTAGTCGTGCACAACTGGGCCCCACAGACTCGGGTGTTGGGCCATATCTCGACCGGCGGGTTTCTGAGCCACTGTGGTTGGAGCTCGACCCTTGAGAGTATTCTTCACGGCGTGCCGATCATTGCTTGGCCACTCTTCGCGGAGCAGAAAATGAATGCCGTGTTGCTTGTTGAGAATCTCAAAGTGGCATTGAGACCAAAGGCTGATGGTGAAGATGGCATCATTCGACGAGAGGAAGTGGCCAGTGTTGTTAAGGCTTTAATGGAGGGTACAAGTGAAAAGGGTAGAATTGTGAGACACTCAATAAAACAACTCAAGGACTCGGTTGTCAAGGCACTAAACGAAGATGGGTCATCCACAAGGGCACTCTCTGAGTTAGCTTCCACGTTGAAAAATATGGCAACCAAGTAGACCATATATAGTTAATCCTTTTTCTTCATATTTAATAAGTACTTTTTCCTTTAGTTATCCATTATTATTAATATGTTACATTTCTGTGTAGGTTGTGTTGTTAATCTCTCAATAGAACGACATAGAGCAGAATATAGATTAAACACTTTGTTTCACTTTTTTCTGCAATCTGTGATTTCTTTAGCTTGTTTGGAAAAAATGTGGAAAGGGAATTTGATGGATTGTGTAGATCTCTCGTACTAAAGGAGTAAAGTGTTTTACTGTTCTGTTTTGTTTTTTGTTTTTAGAAGTTATACTCACATCCCAAAAACTTATAAATACACCCGCCCTTAATTAGTAAAATGACTAATATGGGCAATCTAAAAAATAAACAGAGAAGAATACGCCAACGACTTTTCACACTCCTCTTCAATACACACCAGACCCAAAGTACTCTGAAATCTTTAGTTTCTTCTTCAATGGCTCAATCTTCATCATCCATCATTCTCAATTAATTCTCTCTCCCAATCCCCCTTCTCCTACTCCCTTAAAAGTTAGCACCAAAATTATCTTGTTTTTGTTTGCTTTTTTTTTTTCCCAACTATTCTCGCGTTCGCTCTGTATTTGTTCAAACAGTTCATAATGAGACATTATAGATCTGTTTAGTTCGCTGATTTACATTTTTAATTTGAGTTGAGATGTGACTTTATATGAGAGTTTTTTATTATAATAAAAAAATTAAATATGATTATTTTTGAGAATTTTTTACTGTAATAAAACTTCATATGTATCTCAAGTTTATCTTGTATGATATTACTTAATAATAGTATAGAAGCAAGTTTCCTTCGAAAAAAAAAAAAAGAAAAGAAAGAAACAACCGAGCAACATAAGGAAAGAAGCTTACCAACACAGAGTGAGAAATCTAAAACCCACCCCAAGAAGAAAGGCAAGCAGCGAAAATTCCCTTGGAACAACACTAGAAGACCACACAAGCCTAACAAAGAATTTATTTTGGGTAGAAGAAACTTAAAAAATAAAAATAAAAAGATTTGATACAGAAAAACAAAAAAATTTTATATGGGCACAGATGGTGAAATTACATAAAAACGATGGAAGGGTATATTGTAATAAAAAAAATTATTTTTAAAATGGGGTGTATTAATAACCACCTTTTTTAAAGTTTTTTGAATTCATTTTCAAGCCCAACCAATGCGTATAGCAGCTAGACCGAAGATGTTCGTTTGAAACTCATTTTAAAATGATTTTATTTGTATATAAAAATAAAAATAAAAATATTTTTAATTACATACATAAATTATTTTTAAAAATGTGTTTAGTAATTTTATCAAGAGATTGTTTTCAGTATAAAAAAATTCATTAATGTCTCTATCTCTCTGTGCTAGAGAGAAGAGAAAATAGAAACAAAAAATGAAAAACAACTAAAGTCTTTTTTCATTTTTCTCTCATTTTACACTAAACTAAAAAATCATTTTTGTTTTTTGTCTTTAATTATGTCAAACACCGTTTATCTCTCGTTTTCATTTTTAATCTTTAAAATGTTTTGTATATTTATTTTAATTTTTATTGGTCATAATAAACGTTCTACACTTATAAAATACACTTTATCATATTTTTGGTGATTTGTATTAAAACTTTAAATGGTGAACTATTAGACATTTGTTATTTTTAAGTTATATTGTAAACTTAAATCTTATTTTATTTTTATTGATTAACAATCTTATAATTTTTATGAATTATTGAAATTTTTTTTAATATTAAGCTTAAACCGCGCAAACCGTTTAGGATTGATTTAGTTTAATTTAGTTTTTGTCAAAAACATTAAAACCACCCAAACCGTCTAAACAAATTATTTTTAATTTCGTTGGTAATTTCTATAAATAAAAAAAAACCACTCAAACCCACGGCCAACACCACTATCTAAAAGTTTGGTCTCTAAAGATGCAATTATTTGTGGTGACATGCACATACAGCTTTTAAAAATACCAATAGAAACATTATTTTGCAAAGCTTCAAAAGCGTTAAATATGGGTATAATAGTTGAAATCTATTAGAAAAATTACTAAATAGCATTTCTTTCTTATTGTTATTTTTTATTTAATTGCCTCCTCTATTGAAATAAATTCTTGGATATGTCTTTTTTTTTTCTTTGCTACTGTTCTGACATTGGCTCCTCAATCTCTGCGCTTTGTTTTATTTTGCTCTCGCTGTTTTTTTTTTCCCTGAACCCACTTCGTCCCTTTTTTTAATTAAATAACTCAATATATTAAAATAATATTCCTTTTCCTATCACTCTCATGTGACTTTGTTAATTTATTAAAAATAATATTGATCTATTACTCTAATAATTGTCAATTGTCGCTGGTTTGGAACTTTCTAAAGAGTCAAAGTATTAAGTAACGAGATATTTGTGAGTTTTTAAATTTAATTTTGTTATAGTTAAAAATTTTTATAAAAAATTATATTTAATTTTTATTGTTATTATAAAAAATTTTCATATAAAATCACATTTTAATTCAAATTAAAAACTCAAATCAACGAATTAAACAAAACTGACGCATATGTTTCCAAAAGGAATATCATTCAACAGACAACTTAATAATACAACTAATTACTTGTCATCCAATTTGACTAATTCTTCTTGGATTGGGATAGATATTGGTTGAAGAGTGGTATCCATCAGTAATATTGGCGTACGTATTGACTTGTATTTTTCCTTTTTCGGGTTACGGGTAATAATAATATAATATAATATAAGAGTTTGGTCCAAGAAGATTTTCATTAGAATAAAAATTAATTAGAAAAAAAATAGAGATTAAAATCTCTAACGTTTGAGCTTACATCACAAATCGCGTATGCAATATCCTAATTCACCAACAAATGACCTGTAAGAACTCCCTAATTTTCTAAGCACAAAAAAATAAATAAAATATATATACGGTTGAGTTTAAGGTTTAGGACTTTGAATCATAAGCTGATAATTCAAATATCCCCACACATCTCCACGATTCTTGGCCACCTTCAGTTGAAAGGAAAAGAATCAACAGACGTTAAGAAAAAAAATATATCAAAAAAAAAAACAAAGGGTAAGATAAAAATTTATCCAAAACGACATTTCAAGCCTTCAAGGAAAAATATATGATCGGGTCAAAAAGATTACGCCTGAACTGACGTCATATTTCCGATCTTTAATCCAGTCAAATATTCATGCAAAAAACAAAACAAAACAAAAAAGTCAAAATAACAATATTGTCAAGAAAAACAAAATAAATACAAAGTCAAAAAGTCATTGATGTTTCCTCAAGCGAGTTTGTATTTAAGGCCCGTTCATTTCGCTGATTCGAGTTTAGAATTCAAGTTTTGTTACATTAAAAAGTTCTCATAAACAGTCACATCTAACTTTTTTTTTGCTACAATAAAAACTCTCACATAAAATCACATCTCAACTCAAATTAAAAACTCGAATTAACGAACTAAACGGATCCACTTCTAAACCAGATCACACACACACACAAACATATATATATGTGTATCATATATCATATATCTCACCGTGATCAAAATCGAAGACCCATTGGCCATTTCTTGCAACGAATCAAACACCTCACATAGCCATTCTCCCAAGTCTGGGAATCAGTCACCTGATCCCGTTCGTCGAGTTAGCCAAACGCCTCATTCTCCATCACGACCTCCACACGAACTCCACGTCACTTGTGACGTATATATAATAAAACTTGAATCGGTGAAATGAACGGGATATATGTATCTCAAGTTTGTCTTGCATGATATTACTTAATAATAGTCCAGAAACAAGTTTCCTTCCAAAAAAAAAAAAAAAAAAAAAAAACGCAACGAAAGAAACAACCTGGCAAGGAAAAAAGCTTACCAACACAGACTCAGAAATCTAAAACCCATCCCAAGAAGATAGGCAAGCAGCGAAAATTCTCTTGAAACAACACTAGAAGACCAAACAAGCCTAACAAAGAATTTATTTTCGGTAGAAGAAACTTAAAAAAAAAAAAAAAGATTTGATACAGAACAAAAATATTTTATATGGGCACAGACGTGAAATTACATAAAAACGATAAAAGGGTATATTGTAATAAAAAAAATTTATTTTTAAAATGGGGTGTATTAATAACCACCTTTTTTTAAAGTTTTTTGAATTCATCTTCAGGCCCAATGCGCTAGTAGCTAGACCGAAGATGTTATATTTGTCCCATTAAAAGGATTTAACGCCCCCACTTCAATAATATTCTTTCAATAAAAATTTTAAAAATCTTATTGTTTTATTTAGAAAATCTAAAAAAATTTAAAAATCTTTGTCCCTAAAACACGTTAATTTGAGTAAAAATAGTTTTGTTTCTAAAAGTAGGAGTAATCAAAAAATCCATCAAATTGTGAAAATTGCTCAATTTAAATCAAACTGAACTAATCGTAAATTATTTTTAGATTATTAGACGATTTGATCAGTTTTTTAATTTAATTTTTTTAAGGGTTCGGTTTGTAGTTTGAATTCCTTAAACCGCTTAATAATCCGCCTAAAAATATACATACATAACTTTTTTAATCTTTAAAATGTTTTGTATATTTATTTTAATTTTTATTGGTCATAATAAACGTTCTACACTTATAAAATACACTTTATCATATTTTTGGTGATTTGTATTAAAACTTTAAATGGTGAACTATTAGACATTTGTTATTTTTAAGTTATATTGTAAACTTAAATCTTATTTTATTTTTATTGATTAACGATCTTATAATTTTTATGAATTATTAAAATTTTTTTAATATTAAACTTAAACCGCGCAAACCGTTTAGGATTGATTTAGTTTAATTTAGTTTTTGTCAAAAACATTAAAACCACCCAAACCGTCTAAACAAATTATTTTTAATTTCGTTGGTAATTTCTAAAAAAAACCGCTCAAACCCACCGCCAACGCCACTATCTAACAGTTTGGTCTGTAAAGATGCAATTATTTGTGGTGACATGCACATACAGCTTTTAAAAATACCAATAGGAACATTATTATGTAAAGCTTCAAAAGCGTTAAATATGGGTATAATAGTTGAAATCTATTAGAAAAATTACTAAATAGCATTTCTTCGTTATTATTATTTTTTATTTAATTGCCTCCTCTATTGAAATAAATTCTTGGATCTATCTTTTTTTTTTCTTTGCTACTGTTTTTGGATCTGACATTGGCTCCTCAATCTCTGCTCTTTGTTTTATTTTGCTCTCGCTGTTTTTTTTTTTTTTTTTTTCCTGAA